TTGAGCAGAGAAAAATTGAGTTTTTAGGGCTTAATTTAAGCTATTGTAAGCTTTTAAGCTATTAAAAGAAACTATTGTCAGCCGGCTCGCCCACTCGAAATTAAACGAGAAATCACGACTAAAAAGCTCGAAAATAATATATCATTCAACTCTCTCTGATGTCTACTTGTGGTAGCTAATTTTGCGTGGAAAACAAAAAAAAGAATAAACCAAAACTCAACTAAATATCTAATCTCTCCCCATTTTCAAATGGTCGGAGGAACACTAAATTTTTTGAGTGCGCGCAATTATCAAATAAAATGAAGTCAAGGTAATTTTTATGGAGATATTCTCTAAATTAATAGCTGTAATTTATCCTAATGAAGATTAGTCGTTGATGGTTTTTACCATATTGAAAGAATCAATTTTGAATGTGTTTAGTTAATTGAACAACACATAGATTAAGAGCTACCGTTATCAGCGAAACTTTAAAAGATCTGGTTGTGTTTAAAAGGAGAAAAACTTAAAAAGAATACATGAAAAAAACTCTATATTTACAGCTGGAGTTTTTTAAAACTTTTTAGTAATTATTAAATAAGAAATAGTGAAAAACTTGGGCAAGCTATGAAAAATATTGCTTGCCCAAGTCCTGAATCAGGTATCTCGTAGAAAATATGCATCAATAAGTTTGACTGACTATTTTTATTACGAGCTGAATACAAGCAATCATAGCTTAGAAGAGAAATTTTATGGAAAACAGGTATTATTACTCTTCCAATTAGCAAGCATGATTAAATCGGAATATAGAGCTTTTTGGGTTAGCAACTTGTTTACCAGAATCACTGTATCGTGGTATGTAATAAAATCAAATTTCTACGCATCTCTGGCACACTTCTCCCATTTTGAAAGATTCTCCCAATTTTGAATGAGTTTAGTTAGTTGAACAACACATAGAATAAAAACTGCCATAACACATAGATTAAAAATTGGCGGCAAAAGTCCCGGGTTCTAATCTGACCCAGACCTGTTTTTCTTTCAAACTAGAAATATTCCATTTCCAAAAAGTTGTTGGCTTTTTGTTTGCCTGATAATTGGCGTATCGCATATAAATTGGTCGGATATGTCACTTTTGTGTTTCATGATCAAGTTTGGCCTTAATTTTATGTCTAATCCTCTAACAGAGTATTATTTATGCGTAGCGGGGGCTGTTATACGATTAGTTTTACTTTGTCATGAAGTGTCAAATAAGTTTAAAAGCTTGCGTTTTGCCTGACTACACACTTCTATTTTTTTCTACTAGGTTTCAGTTGTTGTTTTTTTCGTATCAACTTAACATCCTCCCCCGCAGACCAAGTTAAGATCTTTCACCCCAGCATTTAATTTGCATTAAATTTGCTAAGCGCTGCATGTAAAAGCTCGATTCTGATTGGTTGAAAACTTCCAACTTAGAACCAAATTAACATCGTTCCACCAAACAGCTTTTTCTTTTTTTTTCCAGAGAAATTGAAGAAAAATAGGGTTATGCGCAAGTTCAATCGTATACTTCAATTCAATTTTTTTCAATTTAGTTTTCCAGTATTTTTGCTTTCCGCCTATCAAAAGGCCGGCTATCAGATATCTATGAGATCTATGGGAAAAAGCGTAATTCTGTACTCAAAACGTTATCCAGTGTCGACGAAACTACAAAAAATTCATCCTGAAAATACTGAGAATCACGAAGACTAAAATAATGTTTTACACCATTGTAATCAACATTACCAAACACGGTTTCTCCTGTGAAAAAATTTCTTTTTTGTTGACAATAAAGATTTTAATTAATCAACGGAGTTTTTTTTAGCTCCTTTCAAAGCATAACTGGATTGCAATTTTTGGGCTACATTTCCTTTGTATTGGCCTCTCAGATGCCTTCAATTCGTTGGTTCTACTAAATAGGAAAAATATAGACGGAATACAATTAGCGCTGCTTCATGTCCAAATACATGCAATAGTTTACTAAATTTGAAGAAAACGTTTTAGAGAACATTTTGGATAGTATTTCTTTCATTCTTCAAATTCAAGTGAGCTGTTCCTGATGAAGATTGGATGAAGATTTTTGTGTAAATACATCAGAAATTTAGTAAAAGAAACTGAAAAATTGTCAAATTAGACAATTGAATTAATGAGAAAGCAATATGTTTTGATTTAACTGAGAAATATGTATCCAATTTCCGTTCCGATAAATGTAGACTGTAAAACTTAAGTAGTAGATTAATTACACTGATGATTGAGTATTAAGATGAATCGTTGATACCAAAACGTTGATACCTGCGAATATTATCTACTTGGATATTTTTAGCAATACTGATTAATTTTGTCATTTGGATAATATCAGTTTTCGGAGTAACACTTAAATAAATTAGTTTCATTGTTTAAAAGCTAATGTCTTTTTGTATCAACCAAATACAGCTTAAAAAATAAAAGATTTGGAAAATTTCAGCTCTCAAAATACTAATTTAACCCATATGAACAATCTCCCACCTAAACTGATCAAGTGAACAATCTCCTTCCAAACAATAAATGGCAAACTCAAGTAATAAGGACCGCATGTACTATGCTCAAATCTGATTGGCTGAAAAATATTACTTCTGACCAAGTGAATTCTCTCCTTTGATTTAGGGGAGAGACTGTTCAATTGGTCCAAAACGTTTAATAGTTTTCATTGGGCATATCAATTGCTGCATGTCAGCAAATAATTTGCATAAAAATATCACACGATTGTCAGTAATTGGAAAAATATTTAATTTTGAATCATTGAGACGACTTATTTCTTGAAAAACGACAGCCGATTTCAAGTACTTAGTCTCGGTTCTTTCTCGTTAGAAATCGAAAAATAGGCTAAGCGATAAGCATCGAAACTTACATTAAAACGCACAGGAATAAAACCAATTTGATAGTTAATTTCTCGTGACACCCAATTGTCTGCTAGAAAAATAGAAAATACCAGAAGGATATCGAAAACTAGGATTGCAAGTAGCTCAAAATGTCCTGAAAATATTAAAAAACACTATAAAAATATATTTTTCTGTTTCAAATTGCGTCGTTTTTCGTTTTTGGTGTAATAAGAGAAAATCTAAACGAAAACCTTAAAATTTCGAGAGTTAAAAGCTAGAGACGTTTGACACGATTTTTTCTCATACAAAAATATCAATTTGTTGAAAAATAAAAAAAAAAGTTCGACTCTTAAACACTATGTTCGCTATTCAAAAGTTTCGTACTGAAAAACAAAAAACGGCGGAATAGAACCATAAACTTTTATTAAATAGTTAATGAACACACCTAATCCACTAAATCATTCCCCATAAAACCAAAATAAAAAACCAAAACAGGAATACAAACCAAAATGATAGTTAAATTCTCATGACACTCAATGTTCCGTCAAAAATACCAGACGAGGATAAAAAGAATAATGGAATTGTGGTACACTGCTGCTTCTAAGAGTGGGTGATCTGTTCTGACTTCGCTCCTTTTTGAAAAAATCGGAAATCAAATGCGCTCAAGTCAACGAAATTGTTTTTGCAAAAGTTTAACCAAACAAATACTACACAAAAACTCAGTTTAAGTTTTCTGTCGTGAAGTTGAAGAAGAAAAGTTTATCTTAAAAGCAATCACTTTAATAGCAATCAGTGAGTTTGAAAAAAAGTGGGTTAATGCAACCAGTACAAATTTAAAATCAGATAAAAAACTAAGTCACATCCTGGAACCTTTCGGCTTTTTGTAACTTTTTCAAATAATGGTCAAAATGTGAAATCGTAATTAGTTTCAGGTGTTCTTTCTGTGAAAACATCCTCGCCAACAATTCGACGAAAATGAAATTATTGGCTTAAATTATTTTTTTTGGGAAGCGTGTCATACTCTTTATACCGCGGAAAAACGAGAACCAAATAAACTGAAAAAAAAAATACTTGGACCGGCATCAAACAATTGTCGTATCTGTTTTAACGATAAAGACATTAAAATCTCCGGGGCGCTCATACCAAAAATTTGACCAAAGTTTAAAGACATTATAACTGCTTATGAGAACCATAGGCATGTATCAGAGCAGTTGTTTTTTTTCGAAATCTTTGCTGGAACAATTCTTTTGTTACCTTTTTATATCGATCATCGGCGCAAAGTTAATCATACACGTTACGGTGTTTTTTTAATGCTGGTTCAAGTAACTCTTACAATTTTTTTTGTCTGTAATTTTTCTTCGGCATAAAGAGCGAGCCAATCTCATCAACTTCCCAAAGACTTAATTTGAGCCCACACATTCAAATGCATTGTTTTTTCCGAGGACGTTTCTACAGCAAGAACACTTGTGAAGCTAATTGTGATATACTGGCTATTTCACGACTTTACAACATAATTTTTCAAACTTTGAAGGAACTAGCTCAGTCCATATAGTTGCATCTAGCACCCGTCAAAATTTCAGCCCTTAATTTTAAATAGCTGCAGAAAGAAAACGACGAAAAATGTAAGATTAAAATCTTTCATTTGCTTAGTGAAAACTTCTATGTCCATTGACTGTATAAGAGAAACACCAGACAAATTGAAATTGAACCAAATCTGGTGGCACTTAGTTTCATTTAAATTAAGAATGTTAACTTTGATAAGACATGATATATCTTGGAACAATTTAACTTCTAAACTCGCGGTCGTATAATCAACCTAATCTGAAGGTCTCGGTGGATTACCTGTGTGTGTGTGAAGTAAATGATAGTGTGTATGCTTCTAACTTTCAAAATACATGCTACAAGGGCCATAGTGATCTGTGCTTGCTGAAAAACAACGAAATAACTGCATGTAGCTCTTTAGCTAAGATGTGAAAAAAGATACGCCGTAAAAATTGAAAGCCTCGTTGCGCACTGGTCTTTCTCAATGCTGCTAAAAATCGTTTCATAGGTTAAAGGCGAAATTGACTAATTGAAGTTTAAACTGACTATCTCGAAAATTTGTCATTTTTAAAATTCATTCCGTAATGGAGGCGCTATTTAATGATTTAGGCCTAAGTATCCCGGATGGGGGAGTGCACATCATTGGAGGAGACAACGGGGAGGCATTCATCACCTTTGCCTCGGACGAAGACGGACGGATGGCCATGCTTCAAAATGGAAAAGATCTCTCGGGATCGCCTGTTACCCTTTACTTGAGTAGCAAACACGAAATGCAAGCTAAGATTGACGAACTACGAAATGGTGCTGCGATTGTCCAAGCAGCTAGTTTCAACAACGCGTTTACGGCTACGCCTGCGTCCCAATTTATTCCCCAACAACAGCAGCATCAACAAATGCCAGTACAACAACAACAACAAACCCCTCAGGCACAGCAGGTACAACAACAACAAATTGTGCCTCAAAACCGATTTCAGCCTCCATCTTCGGCTCCGAGTGGTTTGCAGCCGAACCAATTGCCGATTCAAATGCAGCCCAATAACTCAGTGATAAATGGGCAGAACCAACAGAATAGACTCTCGGCTCCGCCATCAGCAGCGAATGTGTTCAATCCCCGACAACCGCAGTTTGCCAACCAAAGGTTCCCAGCGCAGCGACCGATGGTTCCGAATCACATGCAAGGCGGGGGAGGCCAGCAGAATACACCAGCTCTGAATCAAATGCAACCGCAAGGAATTCGTCCAGCCAATGCTGGCTTCAGACCTCGAGGGGCGTTTGAGCCAAGGGGTCGATTTCCCGTTGTTAGAAGTCAAATGGATGGTAATGCGGGGTTCAGACCTCAAATCACCACAACGCCTCAAGCTAGACCAGCGAGGCCAGGAGCTTTTGACATAGTGCGGGGATCTGCTAGACCCAATGTGCCCATGCAGCAACAGCCTCAGATGACGCAAGGACCCATGAATGTCCAAAATCAACAGACGCCTGGCCAAAATCAAATCAACATTAATGCAAATTTCCGCCCGCGCTTGCCTTTCCAGAGACCTCCGGTTTCCCAAGCCAGCTCAAATCAAGGAATTGTCCAAGGATTGCCTACCAGCAGTGATGGAAGTACAAACTTTAATATCCAGCTGAAACCAGCGGCTCCAAATGCTCAACCGGCTCCTGGTCAAAACTTTGGAATGTTTGGTCCAATGACTAATCTTGCTCGTATGCCAGCGGTTGCTCCTGGCTTTATAAGGCCACAAAGTGCGGGAACAGTTGCGACTTCTGTAGTGAGTAAAGTTGCAGATCCGCCTCCTGATTTCGCGAGAGATAATGAGCGGAAATTGGGCGATCGGAGTTCATTCGAGCGAATAGATCGGGATCGAAACTCGCGCTCGATGCCTGATGTCGTCGCGGCTGCAGATCGAAACTCTTCTGGATCCAAATGGTCGTCCAGAGATGAGAATTCAAGCAAGTCCAATGACACACGTGACGATGAAGAGAAACCACGAAGGCGAAGGTCGAATTCACGTGACCGAAGTAGTAACAAAAGACCACATACTTCGGATTCAAGGTCATCAGTATCGCCTCCGCCCAGCAAAGTGCAAAAGAGTCACTTTTACTGTGTAATGGAAAAAGTTTCGATCGATGTGACCGATTCAGATATCAGAGATTTCTTGTCTAGCAGTCACTGTAAAACGAATATGAAGCCGATTATTATTGCGAAGAAAAATCACTGTGTTGTTTATCTTCGCTTCGAGGACGAGCGAGGGGCAGATAAGTGTATGCAGCTTCATGGCAAACGGTTTTTAAATGAAACTGTACGAATCTCGACTTCCAGTAAAGACGTTTTCGACGCGGCCTATAAAGAGTTCCAAACTGAAATGAACCGCGAAATCTACGTGTCACTTAAAGGCAACAGCTACAAGGGAGAGTTTATTCGTATTTCTGGCCTGCCTCATAACGTTAACAACGATGATATTATGACTCATGTTCTAAACGGGGAAAAACTACAAGTTGATGATATTTACGTCGAATATTCCGATGATGCGGCATCTTTGGATTCAATTTCCGCGTATGTTAGAGCGCCATGTAGAAAAGACTCTGAGAGATATTGCGCAACACCTTTGCGAAATCTGTTTGGCAGAAAAGTGGAGATTGTAAAATTGACAGACAGTCAAGCTTATCAGAGGATAAAAGATCATCAAAATCGCGTGGCATCTTCGGCGCAAATTTCGAACTCGAAGAGCAATCGATCCCCGAGCAGCGCGCGAGAGCCGAGAGAGAAAAGCGAATCGCGAAGCAGTCGAAGGCGATCAATTCCGAGAAGTATCGACTCGGCCGACGATACGAAACGAGATGGAAAAGACGGCGAATCGAAATCGAAGCAGTGTCCCGAGGATGTATGTATAGAGGTAATGGCTCTACCCGCGGGAAAATTCGACAAACGCGACATTCGAGAGTTCTTCAAGAAACTTAAAGTCATGCACGTAGTATTTGACCCCAATGACGCTACAAAAGCGTATGTTGAGTTTGATAAAGATAAAGAGCAAGTAACAGCTTTGAGAATGAACAATCAGAAGCTGCAAGATCATCCAATGCGGATCCTTGCAATTGAGAGCTCGGAATATTCTAGAATATACAAGCAGTACAAATCACAACCAGAGAAGAAGCCGCCAACTGTTGTAGAAAAAAGTAGCGGATCTGGTCGTGAAGGCGGAGATAGCTTGGGACGCAGCTGCAAAAGATCAGCTTACCCGGTTCAGTTTTATAAATTTTTGTTCAAAAAGCCTCTTTGTATCAGCCTTGAAAGTGTGAGAAACTTTCTGTTTGTTTCTTTTGAGTCTCATATTGTACTAAAGAGGGATCCGGGAGGATTCACTTCGGAGGCGTTCCTCATGACCTGCGAGAACCCGGAGTCTCATTTCTTGGAACTGGAAAAGAAGAAGTTTTGCAACGTTGATGTGATAGTGTGTAAAATAAGTGAAGATGATTTCAAGCAAGGAACCAACAACATCCAGCCTTCGCCTTCGGTCGCAAGTGTTAACAAATCTGCAAGCTCAACTGAGGTCACTGAAAGCGATAATCAGACTGCGAGTGACAAAAACACGTCGGAACCCGAAGCTGAAAGTGCTTCTGAAACAAAACCGAATTGCGAAGAGCGAAATTTGCAAGACTGCATAGTTAAAGTGTCCGATTTGCCGCCTCGTATTTTGGCGACAGATTTGGAAAACTTGCTTGTGGACGTTCACATTCGGAAGAATGGAGTCGCTTTGTTCTCCGACAAGCGGGAGGCAATTGTGATTTTGCAGACGTCTAGTGATCGCGAAAAGGCTCTATGTAAGAATGACAGTTTTTTCATGAGTCAAAAGATTAAAGTGGAGACGTGTCCTATAGTTGACGTCGTTTCTCGATTCCCATTGGCTCAATTGCGTCCAATCGCATTGGCTGACATGGAAGAATTAAGTAATGATTACGTAATCGCAATGGTATCCGGAATCCCAAAGGGATGCGAAGCTAAGCAACTACAAGAACTCCTGCGGCCTTGTAAGATTGTAAGCGTCACTTTCATGCGTGCAGTTTCAACCGCCTTTGTCCAAATGCAGAACTCGATGGATGCGCAGTTTTGTACTTTGAAAACGGGCTTGAAAATTGCGGACAACCAGGTAAAAGTGGAACCCAAGCGAAAAGCGGATATGGAGAAAATGATTGCTGATTTCAAGAAGAAAGGAAGCTCCTCCAATAGTTCGCTGACACCAGCTGCTAAAACTGCAGCTACTCCCAGTCAAAATCAAACCCCTGTACCAGTGCCTGCCGAAGCTACTACTGCTGCAGCTGAAGCAGAGGAAAAGCCGACTGCACCGGCGAAAAAGTCAGGCCCGCCCCTGCCTCCAATTGGCGCTATTACCAAGAAACCCGAGTTTGGGGTTCATATAACTAATCTACCCTTGACTGTGATTAAAAGTGACTTGATACAACTCATGCAGTCACTGTCGGTGCGAGATAACCGAATCACGATTAAAACGAATGAGCAAGGTAGAGTTGCCGAAGCTATTGTTTTGTTAGCAAATGTGATCGAGTGCAAAGCGGCATCTGAGTTCGATCAGACGTTCCTAGGACCCAATAAAATATCTCTTCGAGCTGTAACTGGAGCTCAACTTATTCAACTCATTACGTCATTTGGTCAGATTCAAAGCCCGTTCCAACCACCGACTCCCACACCCAAAACCAACTCAGCAGCTTCATCGTCTAATTCTGCAAACGATTCTAAATCGACTCTCGGGTTCGACCCCATTACTCTTCGGCTTTCGGGACTGCCGATTGACGTTCGTCCAGCTGATATTCTGGATTTTTTCAAGGAGTTCAAACCGAATGGAGATATGTTGAAGATAAGCAATGATTCAATCACACGTGCATGTACCGCGAATCTTTCCTTCAACAACCGGCAACTAGGGCTGGAAGCTTTGAAGCATCGCCAGGGCCAGTTTCTAGGAGGAAGGAAGATTCTGATTACCCCGGTCATGTAAACCATCTGAAGTTGCCTTCCTTAAAAGGACAAGAATTTCAAAGAAGTGGCTTAAATTTGACCTTTGAATAAGTGAATCCTAATAAAACTCTCAAACTCGCTTCATTCGTTTATCGTCCCTATATATCATATTATAAACTCCCCAAAGATTCTTTCTGTCTAATTGTTGTAAGCTTCTTCAAAAAAACTTGGATATATTTTATTTCCATCGCAGATATCTTCATGTACTGTTGAGCATTTGTTTATGTTGAAATTGTTTAATTAAGATTCCTCTGTTATACTTACTTTTCACTAAAATTGGGCTCTTGGAACGATCTTTTCATCAACATTACCAAAAAAATTTCACCGTCAGAAAATTTGAGTTTTATCAGATAATATGTTCGAGAGGACAACATTAATGGTGATCTAATTAATTTTAAAATTAAAAGAAAAACCCGTTGTTTTTGGATTTCTTTTTTAAAAAATCAGATTAATATTAATGTTGGCCTTGAACTAAGTTGCTGAAAAATCTTAGCTTCTCCCCCACGACCCCGCCCTCTTCATGTAAATCGAGTAGGGGGTGGGTTCGACGGTTGATCCTCGCACTTTTCTCCAAAATAGGGCTTCTGAAAATTGTTACTGAGGTGGGGACGATTTCATTCCCAAGAGAACGGAGATGGATTGCTATGAAATGAGTTAATTCAAACTTAATGGTGATTTCGGTAAATATTTCCAGTCAATTTTAATTCTGATACGGTCTAAATGTGATGGAAAATCTAAATTGGGGGCTTAGTTCTGATTCCATTCATATCAACTAGTTAACTAGGTGGATTAGGAGTAGTTAACTGATACCATCATTTTCAGGCTTCCTAATCCCCTCAAAATTAGCAGTAAGAATTGAGTTTGTCAAATAAATCAAATTTCAGATCAAGTCACAACAAAAGCACCTTCCCATTTATTATTTCACAAATTTCACAAAAATCGGCTATCAAATCAAAAACGCTCAAATTTGTCAAAACACACAAAAACTTCTTTCAGTTTCTAAATTAAGAATTAATTCAAGGTTGTTCGCGTTTAAGTTTTAAAATCTGACAGAATGACAGAAAACAATGAAGGGAATATCCTGGCATTTTCTATGCAGAGAATTTTAGCAGACACTCCGACTGATGTTATCTTCAAACCAGGTGAGAAAGTCGATCTTTTATTTTCATATGTCAATTGAGATAAGTCCAAAAAACGAAAAGAACACAAAAACTTTCGAATAAAATCCAAAAAAGTTAATGGCGCTCAATTTGGTTTATTTGCGTTTTAACTTGAGCGTCTTAAGATCACTTCTACAAAAGAGGAGAAAGAAGCAGAGGTCAATTTAAGAATAATAAAACGCAACTGTGGGTGTTCTAAGTGGGTTTCCGATTCGCTGGTACCAAAAACTATCATTCCATGATTTTGGGTAGTAGTTCAAAAATCAATGTGACTGTAAACTGAATTTCAAAATGTAGTCATGGACCGAAGTTTCATCAAAGTTGTGATGTTTCTTAGTGCCAAGTTGAGCACTATCTGTCCATTAATATATTGATAGAGTTTGTAAGGTTCCTTTGAAAATTTGTAATTGAGATCAATTTTTCTATGAATACTTTTCAGATTTTTCCAATAACTCGTTATATTTAAACATCAAAAAATATAACTCTTTTGCAGAAAAAGTAAAATATAGAGCCGGTTTAATGTTAATTTTTTGATTGATTGTTTTTTCTTAATTTTCGGTTGATTGCTACATCTGTTCGCTGCTTCTTCGGCTTATTGCAAGCACACTGTACACGTGAGTCCTGTTCACTTTTGAAAGTAGTTGAATAAGTTTGAAATATCAATTGTGGCAGTTAAATAATATTAATTAAGAAAGAAGAGGCGCTTTGTAATTTTAATACCGTTCTGTACCGAACGCTTTTTTGATATATTTTTAAAAAAGTGTCCGTTCAACGTGCATAAAACTAACTAAGCTAAAACTTTATTTGAACCGAGCATTTTTTCTGCATACATTTTAAAAAAAAATTTCTTTCGAACCAATTTGTCCCCGCTGAACGATTCACTTCAATATATAAAATGCACAATAGATCGATTAAATGCATACAATTACGATGGTTAATAGTAGTTGATTATACAAAAAAAAGTTAGTATAGGAAACAGCTCTATAGTTAGTTATCATTGTCGGTTCGGGTGCAGTTATTTATCCTCGTTGACATCGGTGACCTCTTTTCCGTCCTCGTCTATCTGTGTGCATCCGGCAGGAAGAATGAGACAGGCGAAGATGAAAGCGACCCAGGCCAGAATCTGACTCCACCCCATGTCAGTTCCCAGGGGCAGTCCCGTCATCAGAAACACCGCTATGCCCAGGCAGAACGCTACACAAATCTTTCTTTTAAATACATTTGTGAAAGCAAGTCTTCTTATCGGGAACTAAACTTTTTCCTACTTAGTCTGGAAGTAATGACTTTGCCTTTGCGACCTATTGCATGGGGTTCTGGGGTTCCAGTCCCAGCCGCACTTTTTTTCAGTGTATGAAATTGATTTTTTTGAAGATTGAAAGTTTAAAAAGTCTGACTGATGTTTGCCGACTTATGATTTGTCGGATCAGTTGCCACGCCCTGGTTTGTTTGCGCTGCAAGCAGTTTTTGTTGTATTTTCAAGTTTCGCTGCTGTAGTTTGTAGATTTGCTCACCATGACTGGTATGTTTTTTGTAACTTTTTCGTAATTTTTATTGACGCTTAGAAGTTTTATTCGGCCTAAATGTTTTGCCAATTCAGTGAATTTATTTTGCATCGGCTTAACGGCAAAAACTGATTATTTTTAATTTGAATAAATCAGGTCATTTAAAATATAAAAGTTGAAAAATCGAACAATTTTATCGCTCTATGGCTCAAAATTTTAATGGAAACTTCTTTTCCAATTTTTCTCGGGTAAAACTTGAATTAATTGTCTGTCGGACTTTCGTTTGTCTTATCAAGATTTTTCAGCTTAGTTGCTAAATCGCAAAATTTAAGCGTGCTGTAAGCAACTTTCGTTGTAGTTGTAAGAGCAAGTGTTTTTCAATGCACGATTGTCAACTAAGTTCTCTCATCACAGATTTCTCTCGTTCTGTAAGCACAATTTAATGAACTTACAGGTGCAAGCGTTGCCTAATGTAGTTTCAGGGGAACTTGAAATTTTTAATTTTTTTTTTACAAAATTGTCTTTTTTTTCTACTGAAATTGTGTCTGCTCAAAGTTGTCGGCTTAATTGTGTTATCTTGGCTTTTTCTTATTCTCTAAGCAACCCTCATTGAAGTTATAGGTACATGTGTTCTTCCTTGTAGCTTCAGGGAAGAATTAAAATGTTTAAGATTTTTTTCCAAAACCTTTTTTTTCGGCTCAACTTTTATCTGGTCACAGGTTGTCGGTTTCCATTTTTTTGTTGCTGAAGTATTATTCAAACATTGGAATCTTTGCATTAACTGATTAGCTACAGAGACTTACGAAAACATACATTTTAGTAGACAATTTTTTAACTATTTTTTAAAAAATTGTCTTTTTTTCTGCTGAACTTGTGTCTGCTCAAAATTGTCGGCTTAATTGTGTTATCTTGGCTTTTTCTTATTCTGTAAGCAACTCTCATTGAAGTTATAGGTACATGTGTTCTTCCTTGTAGCTTCAGAGAAGAATTAAAATGTTTACGATTTTTTTCCAAAACCTTTTTTTTCGGCTCAACTTTTATCTGGTCACAGGTTGTCGGTTTCGATTTTTTTGTTGCTGAAGTATAATTCAAACTTTGGAATCTTTGCATTAAATGATTAGGTTCAGAAACTTACGAAAACATAAATTTTAGTAGACATTTTTTTTCAATTTTTCAGACTTCTGTTTTTTAGATTTTTGTTGTAGCGCAAGTGATGCAAGGCTCCGCTTCGTCTCTGTGTAATTAGTCAGCGATACTTTTGTCAAAACAACGAAAACCTACGCCAACAATTCTTATGCCTGAGATTTTTTCATAGACTAGATGTATGAGTTTATATGTTTTGCGTTTTGGAAGTTGAACCTGGTTTTCAGCAGTTTATTATTGACACGTGTTTCATTATCCTTTTTTAAAAATTCAGTTTAAACGCTGTAGAAAGAAAATTTTTTGGGAATTTTAAACATCGTGACAAATCATCGCATTTCGTTGTACACGGGGATCAACAAAATTTACTTTTTTTCCAAATTTTGTTAGACATCTAAAAAAACATTAGTTTTTTTATTCGAAGAACACTTTCCGAAATCTTCTTGTAGAACAAAAAATGGTCAAAATCAGGTTTATTTCAACTATTGTTTTGACCATTAAAAAGGGAGAGGAACTTTGTATTTGGGTGTGTTGCAGCGCAAATGTAAGCGAGAGTATAAATGCATATAAATGCATATAAATGTAAATGCATATAGGGACAGTAGCCGAGCTTATACAGTGTGCATCCCGGCGGGTTCGGCGCCGGTTCGAATCCCGCCTTGGTCATTTCCTTTCTAGAACTCAAATATGCCCCGAACTTGATGGGACGCTCCGTAACCAAGTTCAAATCCCCCTCCTCTAAACCTATTTTAACCGTCTTTTCGCTATAATTTGGTTGAGCCTTGATTAAGGCTGACCTTTAAAAAGAGCATTTTGTCTCAAGGACAAATACTGGCCATTTTAGCAGCTTGCTTTGAGTTATGCAGTTTTTGTGGCCAATGTTACCGATGATGAAATATGTTTTGAAAATTGTTTGAATTATGGATTTCCAGAGTTATGTTTGCTGAGAAAATGCTCTGTAATTCAACGGTTTGAAAGTCGATGTTTTTATGATTCGATTTGTGGAGATTTACGCGCACATTTTGGCGCGCCACAAGGGACACGATTCGGCATTTCAACAGAAGGGACGTTGCGTTGGAACATCCGGGGAAGTTGTGTGCCCTGGTGTGTAATAACATTTCGTGTCTGAAAGTGGACCCCACTTTCACAGAGGAGGAAGAACAACTGAAGAAAGAAAAAGATAAGGAGACTCCAACAGCAGCGTCCACAGGTCAAGACAAGGAGAAATGAGAGAACCAGGAGAGCAGTACCGGAGCTGCAGATTCAAAAGAAGGAGAGAGTGAAGTTGTGCTGTTGGCCGAAAGCCGAAAGAGAGTGATGTTGGCCGAAACAGAGTGAAGTTGTGCTGTTGGCCGAAAGCCGAAAGAGAGTGAAGTTGGCCATAACAGAGTGAAGTTGTGCTAATGGCCGAAAGAGCGTGAAGTTTGCCGATACAAAGTGAAGTAGTGCTGTTGTTCAGACTCGTGAGAGAGAAACTTCCGGTGCCGAAATTCGACAAAATTGTCAAAAACTGTAAGACTAGTCTAGTTTTTTTAAACTATTCTTTGCAATAAAATTACGTACGATGTGTTAATGTGTTTTTGTTTATCCCAACTCAAAGCAGGCTACAGATGAAAACTTTCCCGACACCACAACTTTTTGGGTAATTGTGAACGGATTGAAAATCCAGAAAAAAGGAACATGTCAAAGGTACTAGATCATTTTTCGGATAAACTTCGGACGCGAACCCTCGAACCGTCAATTCTGTAAGAAATTTTTGATAATTGTTACTTTTAGTTAGTTAAAACCACACAAAAAATCAAAAATTGTTAAAAACTGCGACATAAAATTCCCAAGTTCGCTTTTTTATCCGACTCCAACTATGTTAAGTGGTCTGGGCAGGCAGTATCAGGCAAGTTAAGTTGAATTTTTTCATCCTCAGGTTTCTTCTGCGTGGTTATTGGATTTCAACCGATTTGCCTGACTCCCCACCTCGTTGGTTAACTAAAACTTAAGTTGCTTTCTCCAACGCACCTGTTTACCCGCTCACGCATTGATTCTGTTTTGTCACAGTAATGGTAACTGGTCAGCTACGGTGATATTAACTCGGTTAAGGTAAATTTGTTCATACTCAGGTTTCCTCCGCGTGGTTGTTGGAGTTCAACCGACCTACTAAATTCCCATCCCCATTGGTAACTACCGCCGCGATTAAGGGCTCTTAGCGTATGGTGTTCATACTAGGGGCCAGTTGTCTAGACCACGCACTCCGTACACTATCCGCACCGTCGCAAAAGCGCGTGAAAGAGACTTGTTTCACAAAGCCCGGTTTAAGCTTTAACCTTAACGCCAGGGATTCGCAGAAAACTATCCAATACTATCTGCACCACTTTTTGTCGATTCGGAAAATTCTAGTTATTTGGCACGACGCCATAAATAACTCCATTAGTAAGCACCTCAGTAACAACAACCGTAGTTTGAGTACTGACCAACTTAAGAGTCATCTTTTGAGACACAAGAATATTACGGCTATTGTATACTGTCGCCGCAACGGTACGGACAAAATAGAAAAAGAGTTGGAAAAGACAGGTATTCTCGTTCTTAACATAGTTGAGGATTTTATCTCAAAGCGAAAGATCAAAGACCAAAAAATACTTAACGAAAAGTATAAAGAGCTGCACCAGCCCCCTTCTCTTGAGTTGAAGACTCTGTTGTTGCTTAGACGATACAGTGCTGACCTAAGTACACTGAAAGCTAAGAAGAAGCGGAACCGTAGGGCGATTCACAATAGACTTAAAGCGTTAAAACTTCAAGTTACTCCCCCTTGCAAGTTATTGATGTATCAGAGTATTTTGTGGATTTACTTAAGTGAAAATAAGTATTTTCTGAGAGTCGTTTAATTCTGAAATCATTAAGCATGGAAGTTAAGTTTCAGAAGAAAATTCAGAAGTTGTTTGAGAAACGTAGCAATCTCAAAAACGAACTGTATAAATGCCACAAAATAAATTTTGGAAAACATAGAAAATCAGAGTCGTTGCTCAAAAATTGCTACCCATATTGAAAAATGTAGGAACTATATGGAACAAGCGGTCGAGGTAAAAAATTAGCTGATTGATATGGCTGCAAAAAGTGCCAACCCCGATGAATTGATACCGGCACAGGATATGAGGCTTCATAAATTGACACAAAGCAACGATGAAGTTCTGCAGCAAGCAATCACTTATAAAACAAGTTTGGAGACAGTAACAGAGCGAGACAACATAGATAGCAGCTCAAACATTTCTCAGCATTCCGAAAAAAGTGATAAACCACAGCCGCATAAAACAGATACCCGCTCTAATTTGTCACACCGAAGCAGCCGACATCAGCAATCGGGTTCTCAGAAATCTATTCGTTATACCACCGCTCCGTCAAAAACACTTTCTGAGAAAAAGCGTGATTTATTGATTTTAAAGAAACAACAAGAGATACTTGAGAGACAGGCAAAGGTGTCATTAAGACTGAAAGAGCAGCAAAACAAGATGAAACAATTTTTTTTAAAACCACAGAGCTGTTTAGAGTTGGAAGAATTGGCTG